CTGATATTGGGGGAGGGGATTAATGAATTTGACGTTCTCACGCGCACTTCTTTTCTTCACCCTGCTTCACACTGGGGCAGTCAGGCCTCGAAATCGAGGATTGCAATAGATTCCTACATTACCACATTGCTATATTACTCTTCTACTATATTACTATTTACTATTCTACCATATTACCAGATTACTGCAAGAAGTCGGCTCTGTAGAGGCTGTCTTGGGTCATTTGTCCTCACCATAATTGTCGTGAAAGAGGTTTTTGCCAAAGCTACGGGGCTATTCTGATTTCTAGTGCCCCTCTTGGTAGTTGTTGCCAGAAGAGGGAAAGAGCAAAAGGCAATGCATGTGCTCACGAAGGGGTTGTGACGATAGGGTGTTGTGATGCTTGTGGTATGTCATGCCAACACGCACCGGCTGAAATCACTGACCCGAAGCCCTGATCCTCGCAACCTTGAAAGTTAAGCAGCAAACACCTAAACTCGAAAGCCCTGGATTCCCCAAGCCTCAGCCTCCAAACAAATTCCACAGCCCTCTAGAACGCAAAGCCCATGCAACCAAGGAAAGTCCAGGGGCAAGGCCATCACAGCCCTGGGCACCACACCCAGCTGCTCTGGGGGCGTGGATTTCGCCTCACCATGGGAGGAAACCAAGACAAGATTTATAGGGTTACCAACATCAAATTTTCTAGACGTGTATGCGGGTTGTCCAATGACATTGATCCAAAGCAATTGAGCTTCATGTTTGGTGTAGGGAATGACTCGATGATAACAAAAAGTGGGCTAAACGAGCACTTGGTCTGGGGTGTAGGCTTTGGGTCTCGGAGTCGGGGCTTCCAGCGAAATTCTGCAAATAACTGGCTTACTCATCCTTTGCAGAAACATGCGTCGACGAAGGTACGCAGCTATTAGACATGACATGGCATGTTCGAACACATGTTCGTTGATGTATGTATTAGGTGCGAAGACCTGTTTCTTTTCTATATGGAGGTTCACTGCTCATGAACCCTATATTAGAAATAAGCACGCACCTAAAACGAAGACATGCGGTAATCTCAATCATGCTTGACAGGATTCTACACATGCGATTTGAGGTCTTACGGCGCGCTGAGGTTCCTTCAAGTTGTCCGTGCTTTTGCTGCACTTTGTATGCAATTCCAAAAGCCTTGTGCGTGCCATGAAATTTGCAGGACCCGCTGCGCACAAGCTAGGACAAACGCGGCACTCACAAAACTCATTAACTATGGAGTATAGTTCAAATCATATCAGGAACTTTTATCAAAGCTGGGGAATATTCGCGAATCGAAGCGTGCCAAAAAAGGCCAGCCTAATCTGTAAAGCCTAAGCCCAAATCCTAACCCCCTGAATCTCAAACCCTAAACACTAAAACCCCAAAACTTAATGGGGATTAGTAGGGAATAAGGGAATCTATAGGATATAGAGATTATAGAGAAATTTAATTTCATTTTGAACCAGTAAGAGAACCTAAACCTTCATGCCCAGTGCGCCTTCACGCGAGGCCGGGCAGCCGACACTGAAGGCGCAGCACTGCCATTGTGGTGTTCATAGGAGTAACCTTCGCTGACTGTTAGGCTTTAGGCTTTAGGGTTTAGGGTTACCTGACTGTCAGGCACGTACAAAAACATGAGCTTTCAGCTTCCCTGCTCCACCTAATCCAAAGCGGGCTATTAAACCTTACAGGCCCGTTAATATACCCGCGCTTTGGTTCTAATAGTAGGGCATTCTAGGGTCTAAAGGCCCAATCCAGGATGGGAAGCCCAAAAAGGTTGAAGTCTCAGCGCAAGGTTAAGGTCAGCCAAGCGACCCTCCATGGTATGGGTCTTCCCTGTTCCCGTCTGGCCATACGCAAAGACTGTGGCATGGAAGCCCATTGCAACCTTACTTTTGAGGTTTCGGGTTTAGGATTTAGGGTTTAGGTAGGAGCAGGGGAACGGATCCCTAAAGCAGTGCTCACATAACCTCTTTTCTAAATTCGGCCATCCTATTTCAGCATTTTTTGTGTTACCCCCATATTACGCCTATCTAGTCCCTACATAACTCTACATCATACCCAAAACCTAATCCCTAAACCCTTAACCACCAAGCAACTTTGTTGACAACGGCCTCGATGCGTGACAGGTCCCAGGCTTCCTGTTGCGTGCACTCCGGGCTGATCACGGCATTGAAGCGAAAGTGACGGCTCCTCCCATCCTCGGGGTTTAGGGGTTTAGGGTTTAAGGGTTTAGGTGCTTAGGGTTTAGGGATAAGGATTTCGGGATCAGGCTTTAGGAATTGGGCTATAGGGTTCAGGGTTAGGGTATAGGGCTCAGGGTTTAGGATAGGAAACTTAAATCAAGCTAGCATATATGGGGCAATGAAAAGGCTTCCTCATTATAGTAGGTTAATCTAAGGTCCTTTACAGCAACCCAGTCCTCCTTCAGAGAGATGCTGCCGTCCTTGCCGTCGCCCTGGTTGATCTCCATGGCGCTAGGGCCATACCCTTCGCCCACATTACCCTAGGAAGACAAAAGAATCCTTTATACACAGATATAAGGAATTCCATACCCCAAGAAGTATAAAGGACCACCCAAAACATAGATATAAGGAATGCCAAAACCCCCAAAAAGTATAAAAGATCCTTAACATTGATCCAGTATCCTTCAGATCTCTCCCAGGGCAGCAGAGGCCTCAAACGTACACATACCTGCACGGCTGGCACCTCGCTGGTGGTTTGTAGGCAAAAAAAGGCAGTATTAAAATCCCTATCATAAGCCCTATTCAATGTATTTCCTTACTCCCTATACTACTCCCGTGTTACCCCTATGTAGTCCTTACATAACTCTACGTACATTATACCCCTATATTCTCTTCTTCCCGACTAAGCCCAGTAAGGCACAGCCCTAAACCCTAAACCCTAAACCTTAACTAAGCCCAGTAAGGCACAGATTGGTCCAGTTCATGAAGGCTGGCCGGACTCGGCTCCCTCACCGACAGCTCGGCTGCTCCCCCCTCAACCTTATGTGGGTAGTGGGGAAGATGAGTACAAATTTGTAGATGTAGGCGTTAGGGCTTAGTAGGGATTATATTCCCTTATTCCCTACCTACTAACCACCAGTAAGCAACTTCTGTCGCATCTACTGTGCCCAAGTCTTCGCTCTCCGCATCCGCGGCCTGCGCCTCACAGGACTTGACTGCCTCGGAGCCTATGGCCGCCGTCTGGACGAGCTCCTTCATCTGGGACAAACATGCAAGCTATGACCAGCCAGGTTGCAATTCACTGCTGGGAATTACCATGATATGTTTACATTATATACATATAGATGTATGAATATATTTGTATCGTTACATGTGCTTGGTAAAGCAGTGCGTTCTCCAATTATGACAGTCAAGGACCCCAGGAATAGATGCGGTTAAGCAGCTCGAAGCAGATCGTAAGAATCTGTTCAACAAAAAGCTTCTCAGAAACTCCCAGATACCTACCCAGAATGTAAGCCCTAAACCTAATGGCCCCCAAGGTCGCTGTTGAATTGAAGCGAGTTAGTGAGAACTAACATCGATTCAGGGAGAGGCTGGAGGGTGGACGGTATAGTTTCAATTCTGCCCCCACCCATTAACAGTCCATGCTGATAGTGGTCATATTAAGGGCCCTATGTATGTACATTTTAAGAATTATCCAGCTGTTAGCGAATGAGGGCAGTGCCAAAAGTACAGGAGGGTGGGTGCTTAGGGAATCCATGATAAGCCTAAACCGCAAACCCAGGAACCCGACATCTCCTAAGGCTCTCCATAGCCCAATGTAGGTTACATACATTTATAAACCTTGGGGCCCAATATAAGTAGCACCCTAAATTTTAAACCCTAAACCACTGAACCCTAAAACTTAGGGTAAAGGGTAGAGGCTTGGAGCCCTAGAGATCATGCACCCTAAGCCCGAAACCGTCTCCTCCCTAGCCTTCGGACCCGTCGTGGAGCTCGTGTTTTCAAGCTCAGGATCCTCCACGCAGGGTTTAAGATTTACGGTTCAGGGTTTAGGGCGTAGCGTTTTTGTTATGTGTCAAAACCATGCTTCCTAAAGCCACCCAAAATGCAGGGAGCCATGGGTTTGGCGTTTAGGGATTTTAGGTTTAGGGACCCAACATGCAGGGACTTATAGGCATCAAAAAGAGGAGTCCCAAGCATGAAATATGATAAGTGTTTTTAATTCTGACTCATACTACAGAGACCCCCTGTCAACACTATAATAGAGAAAGACCCTATCTGGACCCCCCACCCTGCAATAGTGTTATAAGAGTCGAAGAGGACCCGAATATAATCAACACTATCATGTATACTTATAGTCACTACTACTGGGTGGGTG